TCACTTGGCCTGATGAAGCTTTTGTGTCAAAAACGAAACGTTGCCCAAATAAAAATAAAAACTACCGATTGTTTACCAAGCCCTTCTTAAATGATTTAATAATCGTTCAGCTGTAACACATTTGGTGACCGGCTGCCATGCCACCCAAAGGAAGTACGAGGGCTGGGATACCACCAGGTTGCCCAAGCCTAGACAGCGGAAGGCAAGAGTCAGAGGTCGGTTTCGAACCAGGGGCCTTCCGGTCAGTAAATTCGTGCTCTAACCACTGAACCATCTCGCCCCCCTAATATGATAAAAAGATGAGCTTTTTGACCGCGCGTGATGGTGTGTGATGTCAGCAAGCTTCTACTGAGATTAGAACGGTCAGCTTGAAGCAATACTTGAAGTATGTTTGAATCAGTCGGTTAACCCAATGCAGGCGTGTTTTTTTGGACATAGCTGTGCGGCAGTTGGGCAGTGGTGTTGCTACCAGTGGTGTTGATGGTGACTGCTTCTAACTAACTAACTCCCCCAACAAGGGATGTTCCAGGAGTTTGTGAACATACTCCGGTCCCCATATTCATATACTTCGGAGCATGTAAGGGTGTGCGATGAACTGCTTCAGAGCCCCCCTTTCACAAAGTGGCGCCCAATGAAGATGTCCACTCCCCGTTCTTGTTCAACCTCGTCGTCGAAAGAAATAAAGGAAGCGTTCAGCTGTAGCACCCTTCCAGTGCCTAACTGCCATGCCACCCGAAGGAAGCACGAGGGCTAGGGTACTGCCAGGTTGCCCAAGCCTAGACAGGGGAAGTCGAGTGGCGGAGGTCGGATTCGAACCACGAACCTTCCGGTCAGCAAATTCGCGCCTCGTCGTCCATGAATTAATAAGGTGGACGCTGGAAGTCTTCAAAACCCCGGTGTTCAAGCCGTTGTTGGTGAGAACCCTTCCGATCTGGAGTGCGTGCAGTCTCCGTTGAGGAACCATCTTTTACATCTTCAAAATGCAGAGTCGTGCCTCAACGTGCGATTTCTCAACATGCCCGTTGCAACTAAAGGATAGATACGGGTTTGTAGAGAATTACACGTTTCTCGGTAGTTGTACTAGCTCTGACGGAAGTTTATGTGCTGAAGTCAGGCGGTTGATCTCGAATGCCCGAATCATGTTTGTTAATGTACGTCTTTTGTGGTGTCAAAAAGGCATATCACTGGGACTCATGGGTCGTGTATACTGGGACATAGTAAGAACCGAATTGTTTTATGGTTGCGAGGCAGCCTCTGCAAACAGATGTGGAACGTCTTCAGCTTTTTGACCACCGATATCTCAGAAGCATCGCCAGCGTCAGGTGGCGTCAACGGATTCGTAATTAAAAATTACCGGAGCGAAGCATTAGTCATGCTGTCAATGATAATGGTGAATCAAAATGTGGATGTTCGGTTGCGCAGCAGGTAATTCGGTCGCGATAAACGTCCACCATCTTCAACCACAGTGGTTTGGACATGCGCTTCGCATCTCAAAACATTACCGAGACGAGTTTCGTTCTCAGTGCCCCCCCCCCCAGAGTGGCGCAAACTGCGAGCGGGTAACGTGTCGCTTTGGAACGGTGTCGTTTTGGAACACATTTGTGGACTCTGATCACGCGCTCGTCCGGAGTCGCTTCGCCCTACGTTTCCCGGGGCCGCGTAAGGTGCGGACAAATCGCATGGCAACTGAACGACTGGCATACCCGGATGTCAGACGAACTTACAAGAATCGTCTTCTAAAGTCTCTTCCAAGTGCTCCACCATCAGATGTGAACCCATACTGGGACGAGATTGCCACCTCTTTGCATAGTGCTGGGAATTTTGCCTGTGGCACGACCCAACCAGGCGCACTCAAGCACTGGATATCAGACCGAACGGTGGCACTACTTAAATCTCGAAGAAATA